TTGGTCGACCTCATCAGCCCCCAAGGCTGCCCTGAGTCTAGCCTGCCTGTCGACCTCAGCCCCCAGGCTGGGCTGGGGCCGGCCTGCAGGTTGACCTCATCAGCCTTCAGGCTGGGCTGGGACAGGCCTACAGGTCGACCTCCTCATCGACTAGGCTGTCCTGAGGCCGGCCTGCTGGTCGACCTCCTCAGCCCCCTGGCTGGACTGGAGCAAGCCTGCAGGTGGAACTCGTCAGACCCCAGGCTGGGCTGGGGCCAGTCTGCAGGTCCAACTCCTTAGTCCTGAGTCTGGGCTGGGGCCAGCCTGCAGGTCGACCTCTTCAGCCCCAAGGGTGGGCTGGGGCCGGCCTGCAGGTCGACCTCCTCAGCCCCCAGGGTGGGCTGGGGCTGGCCTGCATGTCGACCTCAACAGCCCCAAGGCTGGTGCAGGGCCAGCCTGCAAGTCGACCTCCTCAGACCCTAGGCTACACTGGGGCCGGCCTGCAGTTCAACCTCCTCAGCACCCATGCTAGCCTGGGGACGGCCTGCAGGTCGACCTCTTTAGTCCCCATGCAGGATCGGGGCCGGCCTGCAGATTGACTACTTCAGCCATGAGGCCGTCCTGAGGCCAGCCTGCTGGTCGACCTCCTCAGCCCACTGGCTGGGCAGTTGTGGGCCTGTTGGTCAACATCATCAGCCCCCAAAGCTGCGCTGGGTCTGGCCTGTCTGTCGACCTCAGCCCCCAGGGAGGGCCTCCAGGCCGGGTTGGGGCCAGCCTGCAGGACAACCTCCTCAGCCCCCAGGCCGTGTTGGGGCCGGCCTGCATGTCAACCTCCTCAGCCCACAGGCTGGGCTGGAGCTGGCCTGCAGGTCCACATCCTCAAATCCCAGGTTGTATTTGGGAAGGCCTGCAGGTTGACCCCCTCAGCCCCCAGGCCGGGTTGGGGCCGGCCTGCAGGTCCACCTCCTTAGCCCCCCCCCCCCCCATCCTGGGCTGGAGCCAGCCTGCAGATCAACCACCTCACCCCCCAGGCTGTCCTGGGGCCGGCCTGCTGGTTGACCTCCTCAGCCCCCCCCCCCCCCCGCCCCTGGCTGGGCTGGGGCCGGCTTGCAGATGGACCTCCTCAGCCCCCCAGACTGGGCAGTTGCGGGCTGTTGGTAGACCTCATGAGCCCCCAAGTCTGCGTTGGGTCTGGCCTGCCTGTCGACCTCAGCTTAGGCTGGGCTGGGGCCGACCTGCAGGTTGACCTCCTCATCCCCTGGCAGGGCTGGGGGTCAGCCTGCAGGTCAACCTCCTTAGCCCCAGGCCGGGCTGGGTCTGGACTGCTGGTCGACCTCCTCATCTCTCTCTCTCTCTCTCTCTCTCTCTCTCTCTCTCTCTCTCTCTCTCTCTCTCTCCCCCCCCCCCGGGTGGGCTGTGGCCGGCCTGCAGGTCAACCTCCATGGCCCCCAGGCTGGCCTGGGGCTGGCCTGTAGGTCGACCTCCTCAGCCCCCTGGCTGGGCTGGGGTTGGCTTGCAGTTTGACCTCCTCAGCCCCCAGGCTGGGCAGTTGCGGGCCTGTTGGTCGACCTCATCAGTCCTCATGACTGAGCTGGGTCTGGCTTGCCTGTGGATGTCAGCCCCCCGCTGGGTTGGGGCCGGCCTACAGGTGGAGCTCCTCAGCCCCCAGCCTTGGCTGGAGCCGGCCTGCAGATCGACCTCCTCAGCCCCTAGGCTGTTTGGGAAGGCCTGCATGTCGACCTCCTCAGCCCCTGGTTGGGGCTGGGTCTGGCCTGCAGGTTGACCTCCTCAGCCCCCAGGCTGTGTAGTTGTGGGCCTGTTGGTAGACCTCATCAGCCCCCAAGGCTGTGCTGGGTCTGGCCTGCCTGTCGACCTCAACCCCCAGGCTAGGCTGGTGCCAGCCTGCAGGTTGAACTCCTCATCCCCCAGAGGGTGGTATGGGGCCAGCCTGCAGGTAGACCTCCTCAGCCCCCAGGGTGGGCTGGGGCTGGCCTGCAGGTCGACCTCCTTAGCCCCCAGGATTTGCAGGGGCTAACCTGCAGGTCGACCTCCTCATTCCCCAGGCTGGGCTATGGCCGGGTTTCAGGTCGACTTCCTCAGCCCCTAGGCTGGTCTGGGGTCGACTATAGATGTACCTCCTCAGCCTCCTGGCTGCTCTGGTGCCAGCCTGCCTGTGGACCTCCTCATCCTCTGGTCTGGTCTGGGACCGCCTGCACTTCGAACTCCTTAGCCTGCATGCTGGCTTTGGAGGTCTGATGTTAAACCTCTTCAGTTTCCAGACTGGGCAAAGGCCTGCATTTAAGTTCGAATTTCTAGGCCCCAGGATGGACAGTGTCCTGGTTGTATTCAAATTCCTATGCTCACAGGCTGGGCTGGGGCGGTCCTTCAGGTCCACCTCCTCAGCCCCCAAATTGGGCTGGGGCCAGCGTGCCTGTCAACCTGCTGATCCTCTAGGCAAAGGTGGGGCTTGCCTGCAGGTCAACCCCTCACACTGTAGGCTGAGCAAGTCTGGCCTGCTGGTTGACATGCTGATGCTCCAGGGAGAATTTGGGCCGGCCTGCAGGTGGAACCTTCACAATGCATGTCCACCCTTCACACAGCACAACTGTGGTTGTGCTAGTCTGCATGTCTATTCCCTCACCCTCAGTTTAGACTTGTGCTGGCCTGTCTTTCACTTCGACCACTCAATTCTGTTTGGGCTGGTGCCCGGCTGCATGTTTCAGCCTCCAGACTGGGCTGATCCCAGCCTGCAGGTCGACCCCTCAGCCTCCATGTTTATGGGGCCATCCTGCTGGTCAACCCCCACAGCCTCTAGGCTGAGTGGGGCCGCATTGCTGGTTGACCCTTCAGCCCGCATGCTGAGGTGAGTTGGCATGCTGGTCGACCTCCTCAGCCTCCTGCTGAGCTATGGTTGGCTTTCATATTGACCCATCATCCTGCAGGCTTAGTATGGTATGGCCTTCTGGTCAACCCCTCAGCCTCTAGGCTGAGCTGCGTAGACTGCCACTGGTACTTTTGATGGTGTGATGGATCAAATCAGCCGTGCTAGTACTGGGTTTGCTTCCTCATTTGGCCAAGAAGTGATTCTACCTCCCAACACTGCAGAGAGCCTTTTCACCACTTGCTGAGCTTCTCACCAACCCTCCTAACAGAGGCCCAGAGAGGTTAAGCTACACATCGGAAGTTACGCATTGGAGCCTGTCTGACCCTCCTCTCCTGCCTTGTTCACTTGTACTGAATTAACATGTGAGGCACAGTGCTTGAAAGGGAAACCCACATCCTCTTACTGGTTCTGCCTCAAAGATATGAATTTTCAATAATGAGGAGTCAGTCTCTCCTGTGAGCCCAGGTTCTCTCCTCTGGCCCTGCTACAGAGTCCTGGCCACCCCCATCACTCACATCCAGGGCCTGCCTGTGTCCCAGAACCTTCTTTTCCTCTTCTGTGTGATCAGAGAAAGCATCAAGCTGTCTCTTTGGAGACTGGCTGAGCGGTGTGTGTTCTGCGCCTGCCCCTGCTCCCGGTGGGACTCTGGAAAAAAGATCCGGGAACCAGGGGGCATGGGTGTGACCCCTAATCTGCCCCTGGGCAGTTGTGCAGCCTAAGGGAAGTCTCTGTCACTCCTGGCCTCAATTTCCTCATCTTTATGATGGGAGTCCTGGCCCACCTTTTGAAGAGAGCATACACAGGCCCCTCATAAAACCAGTCACTGCCCCAGAACCCAGCTGCCCGAGGCACCAGAGATAAGCCAACAGAGATTAGCTAACAGCAATGAAGGACCCCTGCCCCTGGCAGTAAATAACTCCAGCAGACCCCCATCCAACAGAAAAAACTCTGAAAGTAGCCGGACCCTATAAAGACTCTCTCTTCCATTATGGGGTGCGACTCTTGGCCTGCAGAGTAGTCATCTCACAGTCTTTCAATAAAGCCCTCTTTTGATTGATACTCTTGGCCTCCTTTCTTTTCTAATACCTTTTATTTCCTTAAAGCAGGTTCTGGGGGTGAGACTTGTTACTGTGGTTCATGGTCATTTGCATTCCTCAACTTTGTGGAAGCTCACCCTCCATGGAGGAAACTCATGCCAAGGGTCATGTTCCCGAGGGTGCTGGGTCCTCATGGGATTGAGATGAGGGGTCTCTGGGCCATGGGATCCTTCATCTGCAAAGTGGGCTCCATGAGGATCTGTGTTTGGGGAGAACTCAATGAGCTGGCTTGTGCAAAGGGCCTGGAGCAGCTTAGCTGACAGAAAACCTCCTCTCTCAGGGATGTCAGGGAAGTGAGCAGGACTTTCACACAGTAGAATTGTTGGTGGGGGGAAGATGCCCTGAACAAATTCTACAAACACAGTTTTTATAGACCCCATTCCCACTCCAGACCAAAGAGATACAACTGAAGGAAGTGTTACAGGGCAGAGAAAGAGGCACCCCAGACCCCACAAACCTGCCTGCTCTAAATAGGTTCTGCCATCCGACGCATCAACACAAAACATGAGATTTTAATGGAAAGGAACTTTAATACAATTAAGAAACAACACAGGAAAGGCAAAGAATATAGCTTCTCAATCAAGCACCCAAAGTTACCCGTCCCCTCGTGGGTAAAAGTCCATCCAAGTAGGATTGGCCCAGAGCAAGGCCCCAAACCTGCCACAAGTCTAAAGGACCTTCCAGGGGAGACCCACAGAAAAGGATCAGAGTCTGGGAGGAAAAAAGCAAAATCAAAATCAAGACCAAAACCGCCATTGTCACCTCCCCACGAGTCTCACCCACATCTGTGTCACCCAGTGCACAACCCAAAGACAAGCGCAGTTTCTTCACATTTCTCTTGGCTCCACATGCCTCCTCCAGGTCTCCTGGCTCCACTCTGCTTCCTTCCTTCCTCAGTCTCCTCTGCAGCCTCTTCTCTCTCTGCTCAGCTCCACCCTCCTTTTGGGTGCGGCAGGAAACCCGGGACCTCCCCCTTTCCTGGGCACCACCCTGTTACAGGAGGACTGCTGGGAACTGAGGGTGGAGTTAAGCAGCCAGCTTAGATATATTCCTAGACATGTGGGCTTTGGGGGTCTCTTGGCTCTTGCTTTTCACCAGCTCTCAGCGTGCTATTGGGGTTCCAGCTCAGCGGAACTGGTAGGACGCATTCACCAATTAATCTTCCTTTCTCCCTGAGTTATTCATTTCTTCATTTCCCCTTCTGTTGTAAATAAACTCTTTATGTATGCATATAAGAGCTGGGGTGCCCGCGTCCAGCTCCGACTGGGGCCGGGTTTCCGCAAGGACGAGGCGGCGTAGGTGAAGTGGCGGGATGAGGGGAGGGGAAATGAGGAGACCCAGACACTTGATAGGGTGCAAGTATCTCCTGCTGCGGGTCTCAGCGGGCCCTTATTTATACATCAAAAATTCTTTATGTGATCATTACATCATGCAAGCATGTGATTTCACTTCTGCGTTGTTTTAGAAATCATTAACAATGCACGGTCCTTTTTTCTAATTTTCCTAGTCTATGATTAACTTGGTCACTTGGTTACATTAACTTGGTTACATATTTTCCTAGGTGATGTATGTTCTTCAGAAAATAGAAACAGGTGCCACACTCAACGTGATTTATACATTCAGGCTAGGCAACTAAAGCAAAGCTAAGCAGGCATTGTAAAATCGAGGGCGGCTTCCTATTTCCCATATAGAACCAGGGGGTCCCGGTGCCATGGGAACAGTATGTGGTGTGTTTTTCTCGGACCCCTTTGCCTCCCAGGGCAACTCAGGGGCTTTCTCTTGTGGGGGGACTTTTGCCGGGCTCGATTCCAAGAGCTCTATCAAGCGTGGCTTGCTCAAGAACTCATTGTTACTCATAGTAACAGAATTATAAATTGGAGGACGTGGAGGAATATTGGAAACCATTTCGCTATCAATCATGTTAGAAGGTGCTTTTCTCAAACGACTGAGGTGTGCATTCCCGAAACTGGCATTGATGCCAACACTCGTTGTGTTAGCCTAAAACATAGAAAATTTCCATGGTTTCAATAACTGCCACAACTGAAAGGAAGCAGCACCAAGTTTTCTGATTTTTCAGAAATCTTCCCCATGCCCGGACCTTTGTCAGACGGCATGAGCAGCATGGCCCGCGCCATCGGGGTACAGGCCAGAGGTGCGGGGGGTGAAAGGATTCACCAGAGACAGAATCTGGAGCAGAACAGGTGGATCTACTGAAATACACTGCTGAGGGGAGCAGCGGGGAGACAGGACAGGTCTGCTGCGCCCTGTGGGTCAGCTCCCTGACCAGGGATCGAAATCGTGCTGTAGTGACTGGTAATAGCTTCATAGCACTGAGACTTAACCCCTTGCACCACCGGGGAAGCCCCAATAAACCCTTCGTTAACTTTTCGGTGTGTGCCTGCAGTTGAGTCTTATTATAAGTCCCTTTTAAGTGCACGGATGAGGTTGCCCCGTAACAGAACGGAGACAGGAAATCTCCGTGTTTCCTTGGTGGGCGCAGATAGTGGAGGCAGCAGCCTCCAAGAGAGCCCCGCACTCCAATCAGTGCTGCCTGATTCCAGGTGTTCAGCTGGGGCGGCTCCTCCATGTTGCGCCAGAGCCAGATTGAGTACCAGGGGCAGAGCGCCTGCCCTGTGCCGTGTCTCTCTGTTCCTTCCTAGGCTCCCACCACTCACTCTGGGGGAAGCAGCTGCCACATCCTGGGGCTCTGAGACAGCCCAAGGAGGGGAGCGCGCAACCCAAGTCTTGGTCTACAGCCAGGAGGACACCTACCTGTACCCTCCCCAGGAAGGGACCCGAAAGCTGACTCTCCCGCAGCTCCAGTTTAAGGAAAGCCTCAGGAGAGAACTGAAGCCAGAACCGACCAGCCCAGCCCCTGCTGGATTCCGGACCCTCCCAGCTCAGATAACACGCATGTGTTGTTCTAAACTGCCCTGTTGGTGGTAATTTGTTAACAACAGTAAATAACTCATGCGGTTCCAGTGTGCGTGTGTTATGAAATGTCAGGCTAACATTAAAAAGAACGAAGCAGGGCCTCCCCTGGTGGCGCAGCAGTTGAGCGCTGGGCTGCAAGGCTGCCCGCAGCCTCTGCAGTGCCAGTTTGATCCCCGGCCACCGGCAAGGGTCCCACATGGTACGTAGACCTTTCCTGTCGCACCTGTTGCGCCCCTCAGCAGTGTACTTCCTCAGTCTGCCTATTCTGCTCCCCGCTCTGGCTCTGGTGGATTCTCTCACCCTCCACACTTCTGACTGTACCCAGTGCTTGTATAAATAAATAAATCTTAAAAAAAAAAAAACAACAGAAACAGAAAGGAAACCTTTCAGAGCATGCACTATGTGATAACTTTGTCCACAGATATGTGTGGTTAGCTCCAGGCAGAGGCGAGGATCTTCATGTCTGAGATGCTTGAAGTGTTTATGATATAGGGGTCTTAGTTTGGTTAATGAATAGGGGAATACAATATTCCAATATTTGCCTAAAATGAGCCTGGTAGAAAAAAAATACATTGACTTCCATAACCGATAACCCTTGAAATCTCATTGTTTATCAGATTAACAGTTAATTTCTCTGTCTTGGGACTTCGATCAGCACCAGGAAGGGGTGGGTGGAGGGTTGTTGCTCCTTGGATGTGTCCAGGGTCAGGCTACTGGGGGGTGTTATTTCCCTTGTGGCTTCCCACACAGCCTTGGCCAGAGCAGTCAGCTGGTACCGCAGGGGTGGTGGTGGCGAAGATGGCAGAGGATGCAGAGGTAGACCTTTTTCATGGGTCAGGTCTGAAAATGATGCCCAGTCACTTCTGCCCATACTCCATTCATCAGGTACCCACCCCATCTAGCCACGGCTCCCACCAGGCCACTTATCCCTCAGCCCCCCAGGATGACAGGCCGCTGTGCTTGCTAATCCCAGAACCTCAGCTACAGAACATTAGCTCAAGACCCTCCTGCTGCCCCCAGATGCTGCCAGCCACCCAGAGGAAGGAAGAGCTGATGTGGCACATTCTAGAAGTATTAACCGAGGGTGGTCCAGCTTGTCCAGTGAGGCCTGTGTCAGGAACACAGCCTCTGACCTGGAACCCTCTCCTGCCTCCCCCTCTCGGGGGCAGGGCCCACTACTGTAGGCAGCGCCACCTGAGGATGAACCCTGCCCAGGTCATGGAGCCCCAAGAGATGTCTGCAACTCGGATGTTCTCACCCTTTAGTCTGCAAGTCGACAGTGCCAGACTCACTGAGGCCAAGAAGCATGATGGCTGCTGTGCCCTGTGCCTGCCCACGTACCCTGCACTGTGCTGAGGGCCCCAGAAGGGGAAACTGAGGCCTAGAGAAGTCACAAAGTCACAGTTCCTAAGGGGTAAGACAAGGAGACTGTGCAAGCAGGTCTGCCAGGTCCCATAGCCAGCGTTCCTAGCACCTATTCTGCTTGCTTCATTCATTCATTCATTCATCCATTCATTCAGCAAGTGTTTATTGACCTTTAACCATGAACCAAGCTCTGTGCTGAGCATAGAATAGTGAGCAAAAGCCAAAGTGGGCTTGGGTTCAGGGACAATGGGAGTCAGAACAATAGAGTTAATAACAGCAAACATAATTGCAGCGGACGTGCCAGACGTAGGCTAGGCACTTTGTTTATTCTTATTTTTAAAAGATTTATTTTTATTTATGCATAAATAAAGGAACTGGGGTGAAAGGCTAAATAACCTGTTTGGGAGCAGGGCTAGGAGGTGATAGAGACAGGATTGCAAGCAGAGTCCAAGACTCTTAACCATCACACCCAACTACCTGTCTGAGTAATGTAAAACCAAACTAAACACACACACACACACGCACACACGAACTTCAGTTAGTGTTCAATGCTATGAGGAAATAGCACACAGGGGGCCAGGATGAGGCAAGAAGGCCAGTCTCACCCAGTAGGTGACTTTTTTTTTTTATACAAGCACTGGGTACAGTCAGAAGCGCAGGAGGTGAGAGAATTCACCAGAGCTAGAGCGGGAACAGAACAGGCAGACTGATGAAATATACTGCTGAGGGGAGCAGCGGACACACCAGGAGAGGTCTGCACCCTCCCACGCATCTTGCCTGTACATCGGTTCTTGTATAAAAAATAAATAAATCTTTAAAAAATAAATAAATGAATAAAAGTAGCCCACTTTTTGTTAAGATTCAGTGACTAGAGACACATGCATAGTTGTGAAATCTTGTGGTTACATTGTTTAAGAAGAGTTCTTTGTGGGGGGCCTCCTTGTTGGCCTAGGGGTTAAGTTTCAGTACTATCACCACCATGGCCTGAGTTCAATCCCCAGCCAGGGAACTGACCCACATGGCGCAGCAGACCTCTCCTATCTCCCTGCTGCTCCCCTCAGTAGTTCGTTTCAGTAGATCCTCCTGTTCTGCTCCCCACTCTGTCTCCAGTGAATCCTCTCAGCCCCACACCTCCTGCCTACACTCTGGATCTTCTATGCAAAAAAAAATTTCTTTGTGGTCGAAAGGTAGAAATTCCATTGACAAAAGAAATAAGTTCTGAGAGTATCCTGGACTAGAACTTATAATATTGTGTCACATATTTGATAGTTGCTAAGACAGCAAATCTTGAAAGTTCTCATCGCGCAAGAAAAAGAATGCTGTAACTGTGTGTGGTGATGGCTGAGGATTCTGTCTTTCCGTATGGTGATGGGTCCCACCTAGACTCGCGGCGGTGGCTTTGCAAGAGACACGTGTGGAATCGTGATGCTGAAATGTATGTAATGAGCTGGCAGGGCCCTCAATTCAAAAGTGAAAAGTCAAAGGAAATAAGTAAATCTTACTAGAAAAAAAGGTCTGTAGTTTTCCCTGAAAGCACATGCTGAAATATTTACAGATGAAACAATACAGGAGGAAAACACACCAATCATTATCAGATAACAGCAATACGAGTAAGAGGAGAGAAGTTACATAGGCAGGGGTGTGCAACAGCTGCAAAGCTCCTTTCACAGTCCTCCATGCTTTCCTATCTTGAAAGTTTCCATAATCAAAGTTTTTAAAAAGTCTCGAGAGAGGTCTTTCTTGACTCTCCTTGCTAAAATAAACCATCTCAAGTCAGGCCTGTAGGAAATGCTGTGACTGTCTCCCCAACCAAATATCAGCTCTTACGAAGCAGGGCCCCCCTTCTGATATGTCATCCCTGGGTTCCCAAATTGGGAACTGCCTGGCATCTAATCAGTGCTCAATAAATGTTTTTTGAATGAATGAATGAATGATGAGTGAGTTCTTCCACTTAGCACCCCTATTGGCCATTTCTACATCCCCACCACTGTGGGCAGCCGCAGTTACAGAGTGAAAGGCCCTTAGTCCAAACCTTCTTGGCCAGATGGGGAAACTGAGGCTCAGAGAGGCATAGATGCACACCTGGAGTCTCATGGCCTGGCAGCCAGCTGGGGCCAAGCTGAGGGGTTTTTCACCTTCCTCTTTCTCATCCTGGTGAAGGGACTTGGCTGGAGCCGCCTGGGCTGCAACACCGTGTCCTCTTGCAGGTCGTCTGGGTGCTGTCGGAATGGAGGCCTCCAAGAGTGAGCACTTCCACGTGGTCACACCGCTGCTGGAGAGCTGGGCACTGTCCCAAGTGGCAGGTGTGCCTGTCTACCTCAAGTACGAGAATGTGCAGCCGGCTGGCTCCTTCAAGATCCGGGGCATCGGGCATTTCTGCCAGGAGGTGAGGATGTGTGGGCAGGAGGGGAGATGTGAGGTTGTATAGGAAGGGGGAGCGATAAGAGGTGCAGGCTGGATGGGATGAGGGCAGAGGGGGGTGCAAACTTGCACAGATGAGAGGAGGGAACTGGGCAGGATGAGGGAGAGGTGGAGAGAGATGGGGAGCAGCCGTCTCCATCCTACACAGTCCTCTATGACTTCTTCTTGATTAACGCCCAGTGCCATTTCTTCTCGTCCCAGGTGGCCAAGAAGGGATGTAAACACCTCGTGTGCTCCTCAGGTGACCCTTTTACTTCATGAGGGATCTCAGGGCTGGGTGCGGGGGAGGAAGAGATGGCTGGAGCAGCAGTAGATGGCTAGGACTGGACCTCTCCTTAAAGATCCAGTCTCATTGAGGCCGTGGTCAGATAGCCACTTTGTATGTCTTCTCCCAACCCTCTTTTCATCATGAGGACTTGTGGTACAAGTGACAGAACTTCAGTTCATACAGGTTTAGGCTACAGGCTCTAAGAATGGAAGATTCTTAGGATGTGGCTTTCAGGCACAGTTGGATCCAGCAGCTCTCCTCTGTAGCTCTCCTCTTGACTTTTCTTTCCTCTATAATAGATTTATTTTCATACTGGCATCATGACACAAGATGGTTGCCAGGAGTCCCAGGCTTGCCTCCTACTGTCCTACCAATCCTAGTGAAAGGGGAGCACCCCTTCCCTGGTGCTCCTCAGTCCATGCATAGTTTTTTTGGACCCAGCTTGGGTCATGTACTCCTTTGTGAACCAATCGCGGGTCAGGCAATTCAGCTCTTTGATTGGCTCAATCTAGATCACATGTCCACCTCTGGGGCCAGGGGGAGGACACAGAGAAGGGGTACATGCATGTGGGGAAGGAGGGACTCCCATGGGGAACTGGAGGGGGAGGGGAAGGGTGTGTCCACTGGAAAATAACACTGCCCACTGCACCCCCTTTTCCTGCCTCCACAGGGGGCAATGCGGGCATCGCTGCTGCCTACTCTGCCCGGAAACTGGGCATCCCTGCCACCATCGTGCTCCCAGAAGGCCCCTCCCAGCAGGTGGTGAGGCGGCTGCAGGGGGAGGGAGCCGAGGTTCAGCTGGCTGGAAAGGTAATGTCCCCAGGAAGGGGAAACCAGCTGGAAGGGCTGTTTCTCCTTCATCCCTACCTCACGCCAAAGACATTGTCTCCTTTTCCTTTTGCTGACCTTAGACGAGAACTCCACCTTCTCCAGGGTGGTGGAGCTGACAGGTGTGAGGAAGGGGAGGTGTGTGGAGGGCAAAGACCTCCTACCTTCCCTTCTCCACCCTGAAAAGAACTCCCTTGGGAGAAACAAGAAGCTGGGGGTACCAGGAGCGGGTCTGGCTCCCTGCACCCCACTATCCATCAGCACTGCCTTCTTCAACACGTTGCAAGAGTCTAAAGGGAGAGGATGCAGCCTCAGTCCTCATTCTGCGCCCCCACCTAGGACAGGGGCCCTGGTGGGGATGTTGCTCACCTTCGGCTCCTGAAGAAGCAGAGACGCAAATTCCTAGTTTGTTCCCCTCCTGGGAAGAGGAAAAAAAATCATCCCTGGAAAGCAGAGATCAAAATTAAAATAAAAAAAATTCATCCCATCCCCCGACCCATCCTACCCTCCCCTCCCCTCTCCCCCTCCCTCCCTCCTCCTCCTCCCTCCCTCCCCTCCCTCCTCCCTCCCTCCCTCCCTCCCTCCCCTCCCCTCCCTCTCCTCCCTCCCTCCCTCCCCTCCCTCCCTCTCCCTCCCTCCCCTCCCTCTCCCTCCCTCCCTCCCTCCCTCTCCCTCCCCCTCCCTCCCCTCCCCTCCCTCCCTCCCCCTCCCTCCCCTCCCTTCCCTTCTCTCTCCCTCCCTCCCCCCTCCCCTCCCTCCCCCTCCCCCCTCCTGGGCGCCTGCCTTCTGTTACACAGAACTAGGAACACAGCGGAAATTAGACATGGACTTTACTCTCACGAAGCTCAGAGGACTGTTGGGGAGACACACTGATCAGCCGATGATGGGAGAACAGATGAGCTGGGGAGCCTGTTTCACCCAGCGGTGGTTCCCCGCCGGTGCTGCCCAGCCAGCGGCCCCCACAGCCGGGCCTTCTAGACACGGGACCCCCTCGGTCCCGGCTTCCTGATGGCCCGGGGGCTCCGGGCTGGTGGCAGGCGGGGTTCCGGTCTGGCCCTCATCTCCCTAGTCCAGAGGCCTCCTGGGGTGCGATCTTCTCAGGGGGGACAAGGGGCTTCTTTGCAGGGAACATGAGTGGGGGTGCGTAGAGGTAGCACCTGGGTCTTCTGAGGCCGCTGGTATCTCTTTAGATCTGGGACGAGGCCAACCTGAGGGCACAAGAGCTGGCCAAGAGGGACGGCTGGGTGAACGTGCCCCCCTTTGACCACCCCCTGATATGGTAAGGGGGGCCCCCACCCCTGGGGCTCAGAGCCAGAGAATCAGCGTTCTCCCATTGAGTGTGGGGGACACAGGGGCCAGAGGAGGAGGGGCTTCCGGGCCAGAAACACTGGGGTTCAGACCCCACATCTGCCACTGGGGAGCCATGTGACTTGAGCACAGCATCTGACCCCCGCTGCCTCAGTTTCCAGGGTGTGAAATGGGAACGCTAGACACAAAGCCTCTTTCTTGAGTGTTGCTTTAGGTAACATGTAACCCACTGACTCTCCCCAAAGCCCTGGAGGTAGATGCTTTAAGCCCATTTTGCAGGCAAGGAAACAGCCATGGAGGGGACAAGCCACTTGCCCAAAATCACCCTGTCAACAAGTGCCAGAGACACAGGGTCCCAGAGGCCTAGAGTCAGGCTGGCCCTGGTATGTGGGTGACTTGCGGGTCCCCCCAACCGCATGTGCCAGCTGCTGTCTGCCGGAGCAGAGTACGTGGATAAAGTCTGAGAAAGCTCCTGGTTGTGGAGGGAGGAATGGATGACAGCTGCAGGAACAAGCTGCTGGGGCCCCTCTCCCCTCACCCTGGCTTTTGGTGGGGACTGAGCCTTTGGGCTACCCTGCTCCTCCCCTGCTCCCCTCTTCCCCTCGCTCCCTCCCTTCCAGGGAAGGCCACGCCAGCTTGGTGCAGGAGCTGAAGGCGGTGCTGCGGACCCCTCCAGGGGCCCTGGTGCTGGCGGTGGGGGGCGGGGGCCTCCTGGCTGGGGTGGCTGCCGGCCTGGCCCGGGTGGGCTGGCAGCACGTGCCCATCATCGCTATGGAGACCCGAGGGGCCAACTGTTTCAATGCGGCTGTTGAGGCGGGCAGGCTGGTCACGCTGCCGGACATCACCAGGTGGGCACAGGTGGGGACTTCACGGGGCCTGGAGGGTGGGGGTGGTGCTGCTCTGGGGCCTCCCAGTCCTAACTGGTGGGGGCAGGGGCTGCCCAAGAAGGTCCCCTTCACCCCAGACTGCAGCCCCAGCACCCTGCTCTGCTTTGGGCTGGTTTCCCTCCTGCAGGCCTGTGCCAGGGAGGGTCCCTGCCCACGTCCTCCTCATGCAGGTGGTTATTTATTTCTTCCCTTGTTTCCTTATCTGCTGCTGCTTGTCCCCGAGACTGAGCTTTGTAGTAAGGAGATAATAATAACCACAGCCCACTTCGACTCCAGTCTAAGCATTTAAGGTTTTAACTCAGTCAATCCCATGACAACCTCATGAGCCAAGTGCTGCCATTATCCCCATTTTTCAGGTGAGGAAATAGGATCAGAGAAGTGAAGTGACTTTCCTAAGGTCACACAGTGCGGAGCCAAGGTTTGAAACCACAGCCTGGCTCCAGACTGTGCTCCCTACTGGGCCTGGAACTCTGCCCACCTCAGGGGGCTCCAGCACAGAGGTAAAGAGCACAGACTTGGTGCCAGACTGCCTGGGTTTGAATCCACACTCTGGTACCGACTGGCCGCATGTCCCTGAGTCAATTATTAACCTTTCTGAGCTCCAGTTTCCTCACCTGTAAAATGGAGCTCCTAGGTGTCTAGCTCAAAGGGCGAGTGTAAGGATTAAAACAGAAAATCCATACATCCAGTGCCTGGTGAACCTTCAATAAACACCAACTACAGTATAGACATGCTAAATAGTTATTAATGAATAAAATGAAAAAAAAATCTTTTTCTCTGTTTGGCTTTCTGGAATCTGCAGGAATGGCCCAGTCAGGGTAGTAGAGTCTGAGGGATGACACCCATTTGTCAATCATTCACAGATACGTGATTTCTGAACCCCCTCCCGGGCCAGGCTGTGTGCTAGGCTCTTGTAATGCTGAGCCCTGGCCCAGGCAGGATGGGGGAGGGGCCCCGGGTCTGTGTGGGCAGGACACCTGCTTCTTCCCTGCTCCCCTGCACTCACTACCCTGCCTGCCGCTTCTCGCAGTGTGGCCAAGTGCCTGGGGGCCAAGACGGTGGCTGTGGGGGCCCTGGCGTGCGTGAAGGAGTTCAAGATCTTTTCTGAGGTGGTGGAGGATGTGGAGGCTGTGAACGCGGTGCAGCAGTTCCTAGGTGGGTGAGAACTGCCTCTGGCTGGTCTTGGAGGGCCCCCCCAATCTGATCCCCTAGGGAGAGCTTGTTCTTGCTTATTTGTGTCCTTGGCGCCTATCACAGAGCTGGGTGGCAGAAAATGCCCAGTAAGAGCAGGTTGAGTAGCTGCGAGGGGTGGGGGTGAAGTACTGTGCTGTCTCTAGTCCCAGACTTCTGCATGCTCTTCCTTTCTCTGGCTGCCAGCCCTGGCCCTGCTCTCTGTCAGTTTCACATATTGGAGGGCTACTCAGCCATCATGGCACCTCCTCCAGGTAGCCTTCCCAGATCTCCACCTGGATTGGAGACTTCCTACACACCAGTCATGATCTAAATTGTGAACACTGTGAGGGTGGGGCTGTTGTATCTTGTTCGCTATTGTGTCCCCAGGGTCTTCCTAGTACAGGGAGTTGGGTACCTAGCAAATGTGTGTTGAATGAATAGATGAATGTATGAGTGAACGCAAAGGTGAACAATGGATAGATGGATGGGTAGGTAGATGGATAGATGGATGGACAGATGGGGCAATGGATTGATGACTAATATAGAAATGGATGGATGGGCACAATGATTAATGGACACATTGACGGATGGACAGAAAGACAGTCACATGATGGATGGGGGACGTATGGATGGCTGTGTGGATGAATGGATGCATGGCTAGATGGATGGATGGATCTGTTGATTGGCAGGCACACTGATGGATGGACAGACAGACAATCCAATGACGGATAGAGGAAACTGAGGGATGAATAGATGGATGAAAGGCAGATGGATGAAGGGGTGGATGGTCAGATTGATGGATGGAGAGTCAGACAAATGATGGATGAGTGCATGGATGGATGGATGGATGGATGGATGGATGGGTGGATGGTTGGATGGATGGATGGTTGGATGGGTGAACGAATGGTTGGTGGATGGGTGGATGGATGGCTCAAAGCCTGTCCAGCACTAACTGGTTCCTTCTCCACCTCCATGCTCTTCTCCCCACAGATGACGAGCGGATGCTGGTGGAGCCTGCCTGTGGGGCAGCCTTGGCTGCCATCTACTCAGGCCTCCTGGGGAAGCTCCAGGCTGAGGGTCGCCTGCCCCCCTCCCTGGCCTCAGTTGTGGTCATTGTGTGTGGGGGCAACAGCATTAACAGCCAAGAACTGCAGGCTCTGAAAGCCCAGCTGAGCCAGAACTAAGGGCTCCTGGTTGGGGAGTGCTGGCCTGACAACAAAAACTCCCACATGGCTCATGGACCCCCCTGTAGCTGCGGGGACTCTATGCTGTCCTGTGCTTTTGTGCTGACTGCTTCCTACAGGAAGCCCTCTTGAACTGCTCTCTTGGATCCCCTGCATTCTTGGCCAATAAACCCTTTCTGAGTTGAGTCGGTAACTCCAGTGGGTCTATGGTTTCCACCTCCATGAGCTCTTAGAGTGCACACAGCCACTCTCTGAAAGTCACACAGCAGGGACAACAGAGTCAAAGATTGAGAGCTCAGGTGTCTGAGGAGATCCGGCCATGCTGAGCTTCTAACTGGGCTTCCTTTGCATGGGAACCTGCTCAGGAAGGAGCGGGGGAGGTGTTCTGTCCCGTCTCATGCTTGGGAGGGCGAGGCCAACATCTCCGGTCTTTATCAGGTGCAGTAATTCTTCTAGCCATTGTCTTCTTTAATGGGCATGAAGGCTCTGAGAAGCAGAAACCATCCCTCTTCAACATATGGGGAAACTGAGGCCCGGAAAGTCTGCCTAATCTGCCTACGGTCATAGCTGCCAGGAGGCCCAAACTGATTTTTGACATGGCTGAGTGGAAGTTGGTGGTGGGGGGACTTTGGAGAAGGAGGTAGAGCCTCCCGGTGGGTCTGGACACACGGAGGGTGGTGGGAGGGTGGGTGCTGGTCTCCTCTTGGCCCCCTCCAGCTCCCGGGAAAATGCTCCCAGGAAGGTGCTCCCAGGAAGGTGCTCTCAGGAAGGTGCTCTCAGGAAGCTGGAGGGGAAATGAGCAATTTTTGCTGCCACCAGGGGGCAGCAAAGCGTCTCCATTGGGGAAGCCTGGCTCTGGGCTGGGGAAGTTCCCCGCTTTTCCCAACTGGGGGTTGCTGAGGTCCCCCGGATGGCTGGGGCCCTCAGGTGTTGGCATGGGGGGCCCGATCCAACCCCCGACAGCCCTGTAGGAAACAAGACTGAGCGTGGGGTACATCCAGCTCCATAGCCCTTGGCAGACCCAGCTCCCGGGGCCCGTGGAGCACCCCTTTCCTGCCTGGCGAAGGCTGTGTGACCTCGGGCAAGTGCGCGCCCTCTCGGGGGCCCAGGGCGCACCTCTGCGCTGGAGGCACCCATTGCCACTGCCCATTTCCACTCTTTGCCAGGGCTGTTCCCTCCGCCAGGCGGGAAGGGCTTTGAGAGCCGCGGTGACCTCTTTCTGCTTCTCCCGCTGCCTGGGCTCATTCTCTCTTTGACCCCAGACATAGCCCCCAGATTGTGGGGTTGCCTCCAGAGGCCACCAGGACCCAGCCCTGTTTCTTGGGAGTTACACTACCTGTACCCCAGAATAGGAGAGACACGAGTTGCCCGGAGTGGACTCAGCAGACTGCTCCCCATGACTAGCCGAGCCCAGGACCTCCAGCGCATGCTGTGCCCCCAGCACCTTCCTGTGCTTGTCTGTAAAATGGGTTGTCTGTGGCGGGCGTGTGTCATCTATCCAAGTGCTCCTTCTTACTCCCTCCTGAGCACCCCGCCCCCAGCTACCCGGAATGGGGAGGAACCAGTGCAGAATCCTGCGGTGAGCACCTGCTGCATGCTGTGCGTCTCGGCGTCACTTCTTCTAATCTCATAATAACCCACATGGCCCCTGCTATGATTGCTTTCATTTTTGCAAGTGAGGAAACTGAGGCACAGACTAGTTTGAGCCACTAAGTCACACAACTGGACTGGAACCCAGGTATGTGGAAGTCAGAGCCTCTTGAGTTACACACATCCATTCCTCACGTAAGCTGTGTCTCCTGCCTGCTGTGCCCTCAACACTTTTAAAACCTGCACATTCTTCAAAGCCCAGCATAGGCAGCCTCCTCCTGGAAGCCTCCTAGGATTGTTTCAGCCAGCAGCAACCTTTCCCGCCCCTCGCCTCCAGGCGGGCGGTGGAGCCCACATACATCACAGGTGCTTTCGCTCCCAGTCAGGCCTCTGCCCCTGGCTGTGCTCCTGGGAGACTTGTCAGCTGCTGTTTGTTCCTCTCCTGGTCTCCGCAAGCTGGAGATAAGGAACTGAGGGACCTGGCAACCCCATCCAGATAACGCATGTCAATTATCTTAGTTCAGTCCTTCCTGGTTGACACCCAAGGAACGCCAAGGGCAGAGAGGAGGCCCAGGGAGACAGCAGGACTTGGAGCGAAGCTGAGCCTGTGGACGAGACGTGGGGGGATGGGCATGGGGAAGAGAGTTTCTTGCTGCTGTCTCACCCTTCTTGGCTCTCTCATGGGGGGGCCTGGGGAGCCTGCAGGGAGGTGCTGGAACAGGAGCTTCTCTGTTGGGACAGGGCTGCGGCAGGTAAATGGGGCTGCCAGGTGCGTGGACCTGCCGAGACATACCCAGTCTCCATCCCAGCCGAACCCCTCTCCAGGCAGGACCCCCCCTTGGCTCCCTGTGGGTCCTAGTGGCCGAGGCTCCTCCTTGCCCTCTATGGCTCCTCCTCTGCCCCCATCTAGGCCTCCAGCCTTCAGCCAGGGCGACATGGAAGCTGGGGGTCAGTCTTCCACAGCCAAAGGGGTGTTCTTGCTGCCCAGCTGGCCCCAGGCAAGGCAGTTGCTTAGGAAAGGCGACCAGGGTGATGCCTGCCGCTGCTCCCCCTCCCGGCCTGGGCAAGAGCCTGGTAGACAGCAGGTGTGTGCCCCAGTACCTGCAGAGGAGGATCTGGCCCTCATTTTGGGGATGTGATGGCTGTGCATTGAATGCACACATGCATGTCTGTGTCACGTGTGCGTGTGGAAGTGCGCACATGCGCAGGTATTGAGGAGGAGGTGCTTGCAATGAATTTAGTGCTTCACATTTTTGTATCTGGGACTTAGAATGTAATCACTAGCCCAGCATCAAAGGCATCAATGTAGGTGTCTATAGCAAAGCAGGTTGGGACTAGACATTAGGGCTTGGTGGGGATTGCAGCAAAATGGAGAACTCATGCTCTGTAGAAAGGAGGTATCCTTGGCTTCGGCCCATCCGAATGCAGGCCCAGCTTGACAGATCTCTCAATTTCATACTGTTTGCTCAAATTCAAAGCAATTTAGGGAACTGCATGCTCTGTTTGCCCACACGGTCACGGTGAGATACTGATGGGTCCTGCAGGAAAGACATTTGCTGAATCCAAGCATTGCATTTCCTCTGGCCGTGGTGATGGGTTCAAGGATGGGCACAGGAGCCACGCTGGCCACTCAGAGTCCTCTTAGGAGGCCCCCATTCCTCCAGACCCCTCTGTGTGTGAGCCTGGGATTTCTGCCATTTGAAGCTGGAAGGCTCCTGACTAATGGCACAGGCACCAAAAACACCTTTCTTTCTTTCTCTCTCTCTCTCTCTCTCTCTCTCTCTCTTTCTCTCTTTCTTTCTTCCTTCTTAGAAAAACTGGGGTGTATGCCAGAGGTGTGGAGGGTGAGAGGATTCACCAGAGACAGAGTGGGGAGCAGAACAGGCAGACTGACTGAAGTACACTGCTGAGGGGAGCAGCGGGGAGACAGGAGAGGTCTGCTGTGCCATGTGGGTCACCTCCCTGGCTGGGGATCAAACTCAGACTGTGGCAGTGACGGTGCTGAGCCTTAGCCCCAAGACCACCAGGGAAGTTCAAGACACATCTCTTGACTTGAACGGACTTGCTCGGAGCTGCTAGGTCTGAGCCTCACCGGGTTGGCCCCTTGAATATGGGGGCAGTGGGGCGGTCTATTCTTCATTCCCTTGGCCTCTCTCAGGATCCACCTTTTGTTCTTGTCCCCGGCCTGAGAGGTCACGCCTTCTGCATTTACAAGAGCAAAACATAACCCAAACATAAGAGCAAAACATAAGGTGCCAGAACGGTTGAGCAGGGCAGTATTTCATGAAGTTGGAGGACCTTCTTCTAGAAGTGACTGTGGCTGGCACTGGGCAAATGCAGAGACCTGGGACACTTGAGCTCAAGTCCCCACAGAGGAGAGTGGCTTAATTTTCCACCCACTCGTAGGGGTCCAGGGCCAGCCTCGCCCTGATGTTGAGCCTTAGGCCCAGCCTTCCTGGAGGCCTGGCCGCTGTCACTGATGGTGATGGGGCTGCTGAGACCCAGCAAGGGGAAATGGCCTGTCCAGGGCAGGTGGGGTGAGGACCCGGCAGTGGGGTGCTTCTATCTCCTGAGGATACAGACCCCACCTATTGGAGACTTTGAGTCCTGCTCTCCCAGAACTCTTTAGGGCAGAGTGGGTGTCCACACAGAAGGGTTCAGAAGGATTCAGCTGCTGAGGCGATTGGTAATGGCCCCATTGTGTCCTTCTCCAACGACTTGACAATAAGCCCTGCTATGTGCCCCCAGGTGGCCTACAGCTCACGAGGTCACCCCGTGCAGTGTCCTTGCTAAATGAACAAGGCCTGTTCCCTCTGCCTGGCTAAATGAGCTCTTTGCTTCCTCCCAGGCCCCCATCCCAAATGTTCCCTCCTTTTAGATCTGCCAGATGGTCACCCAAGTCCCAAGCCTGGTGGCCATGCTCACCGCTGCCCCCCACTCCAAATCAAGGGGGTCGCCTCCAGGGGAGGCAGCTCTGTGGGACCATCCGCTGTTCCCCGGAGATCAGGCTGAAGCCAGACTCAACCCTCCCCTGTTCAGTTCTCACCGCCTTCTCCTTGCAGCCTCCCTTCATAAATCTCATGCCAAGACGGCCCCTTCAGGCGCTGCCTGCGGGAGGCCCAGCGAAAGGGGCCTCCCCCGCTCCCGTCCCATCGGCCTCGCCCTTCCCCACTGTTTGTGCTTTTTAAACTCCACCAAAAATGTCACGGCAGCTTCTCGCCTGGCTTCCACACTCACTGATAAATTCCACTGGCTGGGCAACCCCAGGAGAGGTTTTCTGGAGCAAGGAACCCCATAAATCACCCCGCTGCCACTCCGGCGTGGGCAATATCTTATGTAAAAAGGTGTTTCCTGGGAGCGCCACGGGCAGGAGAATCCTATTACAAGCCGCCCCATTAATTATAAAGAGTCAAGTCGACCCTTCGCTGCGATTTTTTATCTTAAGTCCGAAAACTGATTACCTTCACCAAGCCTTTCCCTTCCAAAAAAAAGAAAAAAAAAAAAGAAAAAACTTAAAGAATAAAATAAATGTTTGAAGAACAAATACCAAAGTTTCTCCTTTTAGGGGAGAACCAGCACAGAGAGAGAGAAGT